TCCTTGAGCAATACCATAATAAAATAGCTCACATTTAAAATTTTACCAATAATGATTCTTGAAATGCAGGTATATGCTGCATTAAATTGTGTTATAAATGTAAGATGCCATTTAGCACATGCATCAACAAAAGATGGAATAACATTTACTAGCAGTATTTCAGTTGGGTTTCTTATATCCAAAAGATACAGCTGAATCATGAAGCTGAATAAGTCACAGATGCAATTAACAGTAGACTTCAAATAAGAGTTGCAGCACGTGCGCAGACTACATTTTACTCACTTTATCCAACGAACTGTCAGACAGCAAGCTACCTTTGATTTTCACATGCCAAACTGCTGCTTCAGGCCTGGTTTCCTCCCTTGTTCACAGCACATTTTGACATTGAAAGAAATGCTCTCTACTCCCCATTTTTCAGGCTCCCTTCAGCAACCACCCTCGCAATCTGAAAAATGGCATCACACTCACATCTTCCCATCATTCATCGTTCTCTTGAAAGCAGCACATACGCTCTTATGCTCTCTCCTGACTACAGATTCATGCAGAACTCCTGATGTAACTTGTTCCAAGTCACAGGACAGTGAAAGTCTGTCCTACCTAGCAAAGCTGCAAGTTCAAGTGTGGCTTTCAGACCCTCTTCTGTGGAATCACTGAATCACATGAAGTGAGTGCCTTGCCCAAAATGCTTGAGTCATTTGACTCTTTACTAGTAAAAGAGGACAGAGCAAATGATCTTTTTCTGGCATTTTCTGTCTGGTCTGCTCCAGCACTGAACCCCAATAAAGTCAATGAGGCCCTATGTCAACAGACAGGTTTTCCTGTGTACAGCCAGCTGCAGGAATGGGCCTCAAGACAGACAACAGATGAAGGGTGCAGGGAAAGTAGTAGGAGGCATTTTTTTTCTTTAAAAATACAGACCACACCAGCTACATTGCTGCTATCTTTAGAAACCTGACTGATTTCTTGAAAGGAATTCAGGACTAGAGGTCCAAACCCATCCCATCATTGCCCCCATAAATCCAGAAAGGAAATACAAGCCTCATTTAAGACCTGGGTATCAGAGCAATGCTCATACTTAAATTATAACAACTGTTGGTAAAGGGAGAGGACAAGGAAAAAGTGCAGTTCCATTCTGAGAACTGTGTGCATGTTGAGAAAAAAAATTAGAACGGAGACTTTCTGCATTCTTCTGAGACATTGATGGCAACTTACATGGCTCTTTTCTATTTATTTTTTGCCAAATAATAATAATAATGGAGAGAGCCATACCAGGGGTCAGTTCATTAGCTTTAAAAAAATCCAATAAAATGAATTTTAAGGAACCTGTCACAGACTGTGAAAATATCAACTGAGTGAGACTTAAGTCAGATGATGGCGAGCAGCAAGAAATAGGAACAGAGTGGGAGAATCCATTACATACATTTATAATCTTAGGGATTTTCACTATTCTGTGAAAGGCAAGCATAAAGGCTTGCAATTTGCTAACTTATTCTACAAAATACCATACTGGGCTCCTATTCAAGAGTACCTGATATTCACAGTGGAAGAGAAAATGCTATATAATTGTGGGCACTTTAAGAATGCAACTATGCTAAGTATAGTTTTATAAGTCCCAATTCAGTATCTACTTAAAATATACATAATAAAGAAGAAATGGAATAAATAAAGAACTTTTAAACTATGCTGAAAACCTAATGAATTAAAACTTCAGGAACTAGCAAATGTCCATTTCCTATTTCTAGCAGACAATTATTTGTCAGACTTCCAATAAATTGTTTTTAAGTAATCCAAAAAGTGCAATCTAAATTGCTGTAGAACAAACCTTTACATTAACAGAAGTATACATACAGATTTCAACCTCCAAAAGCATTAAAATAATAAGAAAAGGTGGAAACAATAGGCAATACACTAGGTAGTACTGTACTGTGTCAGTAGTAAATGCTCTAGGTAAGATAATAACAATTTCTAGTGTATCATCCACCTGATATTTTGAAAGCAGAGTGAATTTTGAAATTTATTTCCTGGCCATAAAAAATCCATTCACTATTAAAAAATCCAGTTTCAGAAGTATATATGCTTATACATAATCTTTAAATAAATATTTGTGTGTTGCTTATTACACTGCATACCAGCCTTATTACTAGGTTCAGTTGGATTCTTATGGTGCTACAGCATTGAAAAACATTTATTTTTATGGCACTACAGCTGTGAATACAATTAATCTTCTATTGAAATGTATGCTATAAACGAGGCAAATTTGGGCTTGTAGAGAAAATAAAATAATTGTTACAATGAAGTTTCAAAACCTCATGTATTCATTCACTCCAGGCCTAGTGCCATAAACATTTTATTAAATGACACTAATATGGACTTCTAATTAAAATGTAAGTGATAATATACATTCATGATTGCTTCAAAGTTAAACATTTTCACCATGTATTCAGTTATGTATTAAGCACAGAAACCAGCCTATGGGCTGGTATATTGCACAGTATACAGAGTAAATGTACATTACCAATATATGAATTTCATTTCCATTTTCACTGACCTAGGGGCGAGACTTGGGGGCTTCTATTTTTTTTATTACATGTGATGTGATATATATTTTTTCTAGAATACCACAAACAAAATCTTTCCAAATAATAGCAAATCCTGATAACATGACTATAAAAGAAACGTCAGTGCTGAACCTAAAAAAATTAACCTACCTCATTATATACAGGATTTTAGGGAATTCTAAAAGTGTACCTTGGATCCAGTATATGTGCTAGAATACTCTGGCACAATGAGCTGGGTTAAGGAGAAGTCTGAGTCTTAAAGCTATGTGCTTTTGCTTTTGTGAAGTCAGTCCCTAAATACTGTTGTATCTTGGCTAACACAACAATTTTGTCTTCAATAAACCAGTTTTTCCCCCCCCCAATTAGATTATATGCTAATTAAAGTTCCAAGCATTTTAAGACAGCATATTAAGAATCTTAATAATAATAATCATCATCATCATCTATATGAACAATGACAAGAAAGCACTAAGGATAATAATTATACTTATAAACAATCATAACAATGCAAGGCGGCTTGTGGAGAGAAGCTGAGCTGAAAATGCATGTTAAAATATACACAAAAATGGCTGTTATGAGATTTTAAAAGGAAAAATGTCTATTAACTGTAAGCTGTTGACTCCACCCAAGACTCTAAATAATTCAAAGACTCCTGAGTTTTTCTGGTCTTTATGCTTTGAATAATACAACATTCATATGAAAAAGCATCTTGATTTTCTTTTTCTTTCCCCTGCTCTAAATACAGGAAGAGCATATACTGAAAAAAACAATAACTGCAGAGCATTACTAAAAAACCCAGTATTTTCAGCAGCAGTACTCACTCTGTTAAAACGTTTGGCTTGAAACAGATGCCCATTCACTCGGTACAGCTTCCTCCATCTTCTGGCTCCACGTCGGTAGATTGATTCTAAGAAGGAAATTAAAAAGGTGTAAAGCAGCAACATAGTAGCATAAAAATACCAGATACACTATGTCAAGCAAGTTGTGACTTAGAACAATCTTGGTTTTCTAAACATCGACGCACAGCTAAAATCCCTGCTGACAGAATCAGGTTTTAAAAAAAAAAGAGCCTTAAATGACAGCTTCTGGGGGATGTGCTTTCACCAATGCCTCTCCCTTTTTTTCTACCCCTCTCTTTTTCTCACATGATTATCATCTTGTTACAGATCCTTGGCTGCTTGCTCTTGCAAGCTCAGGTGAGACAGATAGCTACAGTCAGTTAAAGAAACAGCGTTTCTCTAGCAAACTCGTGATACTGATCTCACTGTCAGCTTAATGTGTAAACACATGAAGGATGGTAACTGATAATAGTGGTATATATTATGCAATATTTAAAACATTATGAATTCTGTGTGTCATATTTTTTGGTCTCATTTCCTTTTTCCCAGAAACTGTTACCCTAACTCTTTCTTCCATGCAAGAAACTGTTCAAATGTGCTTCTGTGATTAATTCTAATATATCCTTTATGTAATTATAACAACTTAATTTAGGTTACCGAGGATTTTTTTCTTAAATATAAAACTAGACTGCAAGAGGCTGAAGGAGATACAATGCCTATATTTTTTTGTAAATTACTTTTTGCATGTTATGTGTATCATATATCTGTGCTGCTTATCGCATGGATTAATGGTTAGAATTACAGTAATGTGTTGGGAAATTAAATGTGCAGGGAAATTAAATGTGCAACATCTAAAATATTAATAGATGGATTATCAGCGTATCTTAATATCTGATTTCCAGGACAGAAAATTAACTTACAAGATTTTTTTATTACAGATTCACACATCTTATATTTAAAGCTACATTAAAGTATAATACATTATAGCATATAGGTATTTTACATAGGGATCTTAAAGCACTTTATTTCAAACTAAGCACAAACCTAAGCTAGTGTATAATTTGGATCCTCTGAAAAATGTTCTCTATGCTCCCTGCTGCACATTACACTTAATACGTGATTAACGTCTTAAGTTGTAACCTGGCCACACACTAAAGCCATTAACGGTGTCATAAAACACAGAATAGGCCACACGTTTTTCCACAAAAAGTGTGTAATAACTTTGTGGTTGGTTCCTATCATGAAATTAATTGAACATGCGGTCAGGTGTGCCTCCTCCCAACCATGGGGGAGAACCATACACTCCAGTGACTGGAAGCCAAGATCAGCTGACAAGGCTCACAGTTGCAGGAGGCCAGGGTGCTCCCCTGTGGTTGGGAGCCGTCAGCTGATGGGGCTCCTAGTCATGGAGGCGCACCTTGTCACATGTTCAATTAATGGCATGATGCACCCCCACAGCTGGGAGCCCAGATCAGCTGACAGGACTCCCAGCTGCAGGATCACATGGTGCGCATTGTGGCTGGGAGCTTGCTACTTGCTGGTGCTGGGGGAGCCTGAAAGCAATACCAGATCCTGCATGAAAATTAAGGCTTGATGGAATCTGATGCATGATTGTATAATCATGCCTCCTGCCATGTACATGCAGCATGGCAGGAGCAGTGATTGTGGGATTGTGCCTCAGACTATTGTGCCTTTACCTGCACGTCTGGCAGGGGCCTACGCGTTCAAATATATTACAGGGTAGTAAGACCTATTAAAATAAAATCTCAAGAATTCACTATTCAATTAAAAAAAACAATTAAAGCTGTTTTCATCAATGTAATGGAAGCACTGTGGATTATCTAACAGGGAAATTGTAACTGCATGATTTTCAAACAAATTGGTCATAATGTAATACAAATTAGCTCACAGCTGATATAAAACCTGTTTACCTCTTTAAATCTGAAAGTTAGTAAGCAATAACATTAAACCAACTTTTACAGATAAGAATTAACAGGATATTATACAAAGTATTAGCCACTGACTCCAAGAAGATAACAAAAGTGAAATATAAACTTTCGTAAGATTTCTTCTGCAGTGATTTGAATGCATTTAAAATTTATACAATCATTATTCCACACCTATAAAATATAATTTTTAAAAAGTTAACTTTGTATGATCAATTTGCTTTCTGGTATAACCTACATGCATGCTGTCCTAGGGCACAGACAGAAGTGACAATTTCTGCCTCATCTGGCCACAGAAAGCAGTCTATACACATGACCAAATAAAGTGTATGGCTGAAGATTGCTAAAAAAATGACTGGGTGAAAATCTGAACCCTCATTCTATGTTTTGAAACATTACATGTGGGTTCAGATGAAGACGTTTCAAAACATAGTGTCTTCTGTAACTTGTGTCTGGGCTGCCTCCCAGCCTGTTGCTATTTTCAGAATGGGAGGAGGAAATGGAGTAGATGGAGTCTGGTCTGGGGTTTTTCCAGCACCTGTGGAGGATGGAGCAGGTGGGAATCTCCAATTCACCCACCTCACCCTCTAGTGCCGACTGGGGAATCCCTGGAATGAGCTTCCTCTGCTCCCTTTCCCCCCTCCCATTCTGAAAACAGGGACAGGCTGGGAGGGCAGAGGGGCTGTTGCTCCTAGCCCAGCCATCCATCAATCAATCAATCCATCTTGACAACAGGCAGCAAACAGCATTACGTTCTGGATGTTCAACCTGTGGTCCTAAGAAGCATCTAGTGCTTCTCTAGATCTTTATCTTAAGCATTTCCCAAATTATAAACTTGAGTTACTTACTAATTGATCCACTAAAAAGATACCCTTGGTAATGTACCAAAGAAACACTTAATACAAGTCAATACATTTTTTAAAATATAAACTAAATGAAACTCAGTCAGATTACAAAGAAAAACTGAAACATTACTTACCTTGAAAAAAAATTTTTAAATCCATATTTTATTGAAAGAAAAGAATTATAAAAATTCATTTTATGATACAATATAGATGGTTGAATTGTGAAGATACTAAGTGTACAGTTCTTGGTAAATTAATTCAAATTGATATTTAGTTCTTCCTATGCAATTTTTTTGGATTTCAAAAATTAGTAAGTAAATACTATATTTAAAAATATGTGTCTTAAATTTATCTTATTTTCTAAAGTGACTCACTTTGTAACAATGGTAAATATACAACTTTCTGTTAGTATATAAATAGATGATGAAATAATTTTCCTTTTGTTGGACAATTTTTTAACTCAAAGTCGGAGCTAACTAAAATCACTTCTGGCTGTTTTCTCTTCATATGTACTGAGGGAACACTGGTGGGTCATACCCAATCTTTAGCTTTTCTTTTGGCTGTACAAAGCTAAGGCAGACCAGTTCTAGAAAGGGAGTAATTTCTGACTACCACATGAACTTCAGCCTTAAATCTAAAATTGCATATTTTAAATCTAAAATTACAGATCTAAATTACATAACTTTACTTTTCTAAGGGGACTCCACTTTGCAAATGTGTGCTGGATCAGGATTTTTCAATGGTCATTGTACCTTATTTACTAAAATATTACTTGAAAAACTCAGAGCAACTTGAAATCTTTGCATACTGCAGATGCAGTAAACATACCATGGCTAGACTATGCATTTCCTGCATGATGAGATTATGCAAATCATGTGGCTCTTCAAGATCTCCAAATCTCTAAAGATATCTATCTTCCTACTATGAACCTGGTGTAAATGGCCATCTTTCCAAAATAATGACTCTGAGAAGTATTAACTTCACTGACCGTCATAATCTCATTGAAGAGCTGACCAGATGTTAATAGATTTAACAAAGATGTTTCGTAAAATGCTAGCATCTTATTCCATCAGCATCTAATGAATCAGATTGTTGCCTACAAATGTCCATGCCTTTCTGTACAAGTTAGGCTCCAAGGAAAGGTGTAATAGGATTTGACACTTGATCCACACAATCATGCCTCCTGCCATGTTGCATGGGCATGGCAGGAGGTATGACTGTGGATCCAACCATATACTCATGGCTGGTGCAGGGGGAACCCAGGATCATGACTCCAGGCTGCCCCTGCACTGGCCAGTAGTGAGTTCCCATAGCTGGCAGTCCTGCAGCTGACAGGGCTTGCAGCTGCAGCAGCACCTCACGTGCTCCTGAGGCTGGGAGTCCTGTTGATGAAGCTCTGAGAGTTATTAACTTCAGCTGCAAGACTCCCACCTGTGGCAGTGCACTGCTGCTGTTGTGGCTGCCAGCCCCATCAGCTGACCAGGCTCCCAGTCACAGGGGAGTACCTGGCCACACGTTCAGTTAGTGCCTTGATAAGAATGAGCCACAATTATTACATATTTTTTTGCAGCTTATTCCTTGTTTTATCACACCATTAACTGATTGAATGTGTAGCTTGGTCACAACTTAAGAGGCGATTAACTGGTTAATCATATCTTAAGCGTAACGTGTAGGTGGGGCCTAAGGTGCCACCCGGCCTTACCTTCACTGCCTGCTTTATTTTCATTCAAGTATTTGGTGCTCCTATTTTTTTCACTCTTATGTTGAGAGCAACAGACTTCTACAAATCAACTGCCTTATCTCATGCCTCGCACCAGAATCCCTGTACCCTTTTTTCTAGTGTTTTCTTAACTCCATATTTATTATAAACAGATTCAATCCAATCTCAGCTGTCTGTTTATCCTCTGCCTTTATGACTTTGTATAGGACTTTTTTATTAGCTAGTATAGTTCTTTCACAGCCTCCTAACACTCATTTGGCAGCAGTTTTCCACTAACCACTGTCCTTTACAAAAGTCATGCACAATCGTGTTTTTTTTTTAGCATGAACATCAGCTAAATGTCAAAGAATTATTGTATTTGCTTGAATCCAAGATGCACACCCCCCCCACCACATGGGGGGAGTCTCGTCTTAAATTTAGGTACTGGGCTGGGGCAGGTGGTGGCTCAGCCCCAGCCCTAGAGCCAAAGCCAGAACTGAGTTGCCGCCTGTTCCAGGCCGAGGTGGGCTCATGCAGTGGGGAAGGGGGCTTGCTGTTGGGGGGTCCCTCTCTCCCTG